GCTACTTTATAACTGTAATTTTGCTACTTTTATGAATGGAAATATTTGATATGCAGGATATCTGATATGTGTGACCTCTGTGGATGGGTTATTTGACACCCAAAGGAGTCATAACGCACAGGTTAAGAACCACCATTCTAAACCAAGACTTGTGGAAATGAGTTATTTTACCAGCAGCTGGTCTAGCTTTGGTGCATATAGCTGGGATATCCTGTATTAGGTACTGTGTGGTCTTGCCTCCTCTCCCCTAACTAAAGTCAGGAATGCCAGCTCCCAAAGCTGCCTTGAAGTCTCCGTGGTGAAATATCTGACACAAACTTAAGGGGAGGAAGATCTACTTTAGCTCATGGTCTTGGAAGGTTCCGAATGTAATCACTTGACCCAGGCCCTTGAGCAGAGAGCACCATGGTGTGGAGAGCCTCTGGTAGAGGAGGCACAGGAATGGGCCAGGACCATCATCTTGGGACCAGTCCCTGAACACATGAGCCATTCAGGGAACATTTCACATCCACTCTGTAACTGTTCTCACTAATGCTTTCCTTCCGTCAGAATGTTCACAGAGGCTTCTTACTGGTCACACCATCAATGCATATTTACTTATTATTAGTGTGTGTGCATGGGGGTAGCATAGTCTCATGTGTGTTGGGGTCAGAGGACAGCTTTCAGTAGTTGGTTCTCTCCCTCCACGGTGGTCGTCAGGCCTGTGTAGAAAGGGTTTTCACCCACTGAGCCACCCCACTGGTCCCCATTTTACAAACCAAGAGATCATACTCCTGAGAGTCCTGATGACTCTTAAATCCTTTGGGCAAGGGCAAGATGCAGCCTTGGGGAAGCCACTGGAAGAGGTTGGGGGAGGCAGGAGGTGGGATGCAGAAAGGCTCATCCAGGGGGTGGGGCTTCTGAGAGGGCAGCAATATCAAAACAGCGAATGAGCACTTGGCAAAAACTCAAGGGAAAGTCTTGGCCTTCCAGGTCGTGGTTTCCACAGTAAAGTGTAATGATTAAAGGATGTGTTGACACAACATACATAGTGGGTATCTGGATTGCTGGCACAGGTGAGGCAGAAGTAGAGCTAGGAAACAGTTATATGTGTTAGGAGACTTGGAAAATCACGTGGGTGAGCATCCTTCATCTGAACAGAAATATTTAGAATATTTTTTTGGTCTGAGGGATTTGTGTATGCAAACGAGGTATCTTGGGAGGGACCCAAGGTTAAACAGGAAGTTCAGTTTTGCTTTATCTCCACCTCAGACACAGCTGGGAGGTAAGTTTTATATGATGCTCACACCTGTGTTTTGACTGTGGCTTGTCACTTGAAGTCAGGGGCAGGCTTGCCACTTGTCAGCACCGAAGAAGTTTGCGATTTTAGAGCATTTGAATTTTTTGAATTTGTGTCGTGTTCAACTTGTATAAAAGAATCATTCAAAACCAGTGGAGAAAGAAGGAGCCGTTCTGTTGGGGTTCAATGTGACGAGCTGATCACTGAGGGGGTGATAGCAGGCCCTTCCCTCACACCATGCAGAAGGCTAAACTCCAGATGGACGGGTGCTGGGGAAATACAGGAGAATGTGTTAAGTAGCCACAAGGAGCAAAAGTCAGAAACGGCTGATAAAAGAAAGCAACCGACTGGTGCTGCTATACACGAACGGATAAACAAGCTGTGGTCCACCCAGGTCTCAGACATCTCTTCAGAAATAAAAACAAATAAGCATTCTGGGCACGAGAAGACATGGAAGGACCAAAATGCTTATTTCTTGGTGACAAGCCAGCAGGGAAGACACAGTATGGACTCCAACAGCATCACATGTGGAAACGCCAGAGAGGAGACAGGAAACAACTGTGAGGCTGTTGGCTGCTTAGGGGCCGTCAGGAGGAAGCAGATGAGCCAGGAGAGTTTTAGAGACTTGGAACTCTTCTGGATGGTGCTGAATGGCAGACATCACTACAGAGTTGTCAGACCCATGGCTATGCTGCACAAATCGGAGTCATGGGGCTCGCTGTGAGTTTTAGTGACAAGCAGTGTGCCCACCATGACTCCTCCATAGGAAAGTGTCCCACCCTGAGGAAAGAAAGTGATCTCTGAACTGAGGGTGTGGTGAGGATTCGAGCACTCTGTGCCTGCCAATCAAGCTCCTCTGAAAAGCAAAACTTACTACTAAAAAAAGAAAGACGCGTGCAGAGGAGACAAGCAGCGGGATTAGCAGCCTGAGTATATAAAGAACTTATACCAAGTCACAGGGAGATGGTGTGTGAGTGTGCGTGTGTGTGTATGTGTCTGTGTGTAATGTGTGAGTGTATGTATGAGTGTGTGTGTGTGTGTAGTGTAGTGTATGTATGACTTGTGTGTGTGTGTAAGAGTGTGTGTATAGTGTAGTGTATGTATGACTTGTGTGTGTGTGATGTGTGAGTGTGTGTGTAATCTGTGAGTGTGTGAGTGAGTGTGTCTGTGTAATGTGTGAGTGTGTGTATGAGTGTGTAGTGTAGTGTATGTATGGCTTGTGTGTATGGTGTATGTGAGTATGTCTGTATGTGATGTCTGTACATATGTAGTATAGTGTATGTTTGTGTGTGTATGAGTGTTTATGTGAGTGTGTATAATGTGGTGTATGTATGGTTTGTGTGTGTGTGTTTGTATGTGAGTGTATGTGGTGTGGTATATGCATGGTTTGTAAGTGTGTATGTTTGGTATGAGTGTGTGTGGTGTGTGACTGTGTGAGTATATTGTGTAGTGCATAGTATGTATGGTGTCATGTGGCATATGTGGTGTGTGCAGTGTTTGTGTGTGTGCATGTAGGTGGTGTATAGTGTGTAAGGTAGGGTGTGGAGTGTGTGGTATGTCTGTGAGTATATATGTGGTGTGTGTGTGTGGTGTGTGTTGAGGTGTGGTCTGTTGCTGTGTGCTGTAATGCTAAATACTGCCCTCTAAGATCTAGTTGCTCTTGAATAGACCTTCAGGGATGAGGAAATCTTCACATATACCAAGCGATGCTATGAAACCTTGCTCCTTAATTTAAAACTGGTTAAATCTTTATTGGTTAAATAAAGATGCTGACAGGCTGTAGCTGGGCAGAAGAGAGGTAGGCAAGGCTTCAGTTGCCCAGCTTGGGATCTGAGGCAGAGACCACGAGGAGCAGGGAGAGAGGAGATGAGAGCGGAGGATACCATGGAGGCATGGATCGTGAGAGCATGGCCGTGACGGCTGACTAGTCTGAGTAGGAGCTGCCCGGGCGGAACATGGCAAGTCGTATCTCAGGGTTATTGACAGGGAAATAGTCAAAACAGCATAGAGGGTTGATATCCGCCCAGCCCTAGTGCTTTAAGGCTAATCATAAATATAAAGGTTTGTGTCTTTTATTTGGGAACTATGTAATCAAAGATAGGGTAGAAACCCCCAAATAATATTTACCACAACAGTGGTGTGTGTGAGTGTAGGTGTGGTGTGTATGTGTGTGAATGTGTGTGTGGAGTGTTTGATGTAGTGTGAATATGAGGTGTATGTGTGAGTGTATGTGGTGTCTATATGTGTGATGTGGAATATGTGATATGTGTGATGTTTATGTGTGTATGTGGTGTGAAGTATGTGTGCGCACGTGTGTGTAGTGTGTCTGTGGTGTGTGGTGTGTGTGTGTGGGTATGTGTGTGTGTGTACTCATGCCATGGTCTTCATCTTTGAGATGAGGAAGGATTGAAGGTTCAGAGGGGTCAAGTGCTTAGCCCAAAACTACACTAAGAACGTGTGATAAAAGACACACCATCCCCATATTCCTCCAGCTTACAGTTTTCTAACTGGACAATTACCTACATCACACACTGAGCATGCTCAGAGCTAAACAGTCCACAAAACATTTACTCCAGCTGCACTTGGAGCAGGTGACCTTTGTGTCACCATAGTGACAACACCCAGCAGGAACCCTTAGGTTTAGGGGGAAAGGATTTATTTTTGGCTCATGGTTGAACTCCACTCTGGTCGCAGAGGCAGGCTGTGCAGCTAGTTCACAGGAGGTGTATAGCAGTGGCTGCTCAGATCATGGTAGACTAAGGGGCAGAGAGCCAGACAGGCTGAGGGTCAGGGATAATGGCTCTTCCCTGTGAGCTATCTCCTCCAGTTGGGCCCCACTTTCTACAGCATCCGTAGTTTCCACAAAAGCACCCGCAGCTGCAGCGAGATCAAGTATCCAAAACCTGAACCAGTGGGGTCATTCCTTGGAGGACAGCTCAGATTTAAACCATACACCATCCCATTTTAAAAAACCACCACCACCACCACCACCATCACCACCACGACCACCACCACCACCACCACCACCACCACCACCACCAGCACCATCACCACCACCACCACCACCACCACCACCACTACCATCACCACCACCACTACCACCACCAGCACCATCACCACCACCACCACCATCACCACCACTACCATCACCACCACCACCACCACCACCATCACCACCACCACCATCACCACCACCACCACCACCACCACCACCACCACCAAACCATTGTGTTAAAAAGAAAACTGTGAAATTGATTTTGTGACCCTCAAGAGGAAGCTTCGGAAATCACCCCAGGCCACTTGTGCCACATGGTCTTTCTAACACAGGTGTCAGCACATATGACTGCAGGCTAAGACCAGCCCTTTGTCTGCATTGTGAAGAAAGTCTTATTGGAGAAATTCATTAGTTAACATAGCTCCCACAGCCAGATGGATGAGTTAAATAGTTTTTAAAACAGACAACATGGCCCCCCAAACACAAATGTTTTCCTTTTTTGGCCCCTTTCAGGAACCAGTTCCTAACACATACCCGTTTCCTTTGCTTAAACTTCGAAAGGGCTAGCCTGAATCCTCCGTCTAGCCCAGCCTCTGATCCCAGTGATGCCCCTTCCATGCATTTTCCTAATACTAACAGGTCAGCTGGCAAGTGGCTGACCTAGGAGGGCGTCCTGGAGATGGGGACAAATCCTTCCTGGATCCTGACACCTGTTCTGCTCCATAGGTCTCCTGGGAATGGTCGCACACATGATGTACACACAGGTGTTCCAGGTGACCGTGAGCCTCGGTCCTGAAGACTGGAGACCTCATTCCTGGGACTATGGCTGGTCCTTCTGGTAAGTGGCCTTTGACCTTCAGGTACCAGAGTATGACTCATGCTGGGTACACAAAGGAACATGTCAGGGTCCTGAGGTTTGTGAATGGCAGAAACTCATGCTGCCTAAAACAAGGGTGCTTATGCACTGATTTGACTCAGGAGCTAGGATGAGGTGGTGTATGGAACAGGGGTGAGGGGTGGAGGGTGGGCATGCACAACCACCTGGGACTCCCCTGCCCCATCAGTCTAAGTGAAGAGGCTCTGCAACTTCTTCCAAGGCCAGTGTGTTCTCCACAAGCACAGATAAGCCTCCCTCCAGCATGGGCTCTGATGGACACAGGTCCTTTTCTTTCTCCTGAACGGTCATGGCAGCTGGGGAATGGCTTGAGAGTTGTGGCTCAATCTCTGGAGCCAGAGAGTCCCAAGGTGTCCAGTGGCAACTAGGTGGACCGCATGCTGGGTGAGCCCCTGCAGTGTCTACTTCAGGCACAGCTGGATCCAGGAGACCTGCTGATTTCCTGAAGGACCTGATCTTTTTCTCCCTCTTCCTCAGTCTCTCATAGCTTCAGATTCAAGCAGCTTCCCTCGAAGTGGTGGCAAAGATGGTTGCCAAGCGCCACTTCTGCTTACAACCAACGAGGGGCAGGGTGGGAAGATAGGGACTGGGAAGTGAGTGGCAGGGTAGGTCCTTTTCTGACCTTGCTGGCAAAAACTCTCATTGGCTTAGCAAGAGTCATGTGACTATCCTTGAGCCAATGACTTAAATACTGGGGAAATGAGAAGAGTCTGACAGGCTCTACCTGAGTCACGTGGTCCAGAGCATCTCTTCAATAGGGAGTGGAGAGGTCCACGAGGACACTGGAGATAATAGTGGAGGACACTGTTACCAAACAAGAGCGTGTTAGACTACAGTGCCACTGGCCTGGCTGTCTAGGCCTTGTCCTGATGGCTGAAGACACATGCTGGCTGAGTTGTTTGCCTGTTCCTGAGTACTGTGGCTCTGAGTGGCTGTTCTCCACAGTGCCAGGATGGAGCTGTGGTGGCTCAGGTCTCATGGCTTCCAGCAGGGTTCCGGGTCAATAATCCAGGAACTCAAGAAACCTGACTGGGGAATACAGCCCTAGTAGCAGAAGAGACCTGAGTCCTAGTGGTCTGGTGCTCAGCTACAATGAGTGACAGGCATTCCAGGCATGGTGCTCCATGCTAGAGCACTCCACAGACTGCCGCCAGCCAGGATTTGACATAACAGTGACTTCCTGTTGCCTAGTGGAAATCAAGGCACAGAAAGGTAGAACGCTTGTTCTGGGTCACACAGCTTTAATGAAGCACTAGAATTTCTCTGTACCCAGGTCATTTAGCAGCCCCTGGATGCCATCATAGCACTGGCCTCCCAAGCTGAGTCTCCTGGTTTTGACCATGGCCCTGTTTCCCTTGGGCCTGGCTCCTTTGCCCACACTGTTGCCCACATACTACCAGCTTCCTCAGGACTTACTAAAGCTGCCCACCACAAGGCTCAGATTAGGGCTGCCACATTTGTCTGTGTCACAGAGGCCCTTGGGATAGGAAACCCCATCTCTCATTCCTTGGTCAAAAAAAGCCAAAGCCAAAGGAGGCCATCACTTCTGCTTAATATATGTGAAGCCATTTGTCACAATTCTGGTCTAAGCCTCTCTAGCTCACTCCAGGCAGGTGTAAGAGACCTGTTTTGAGAGAAGAAGCCCCAGCCTCCAGCTTGAGGAAGCATAAGGCTGAAGACCCTGGAGCATTGAGCATTCGAGGTTGCTGAGCCTTCTCTGGAGGACACCTGTGCTACAGTTGAAGATCCCCATGGTTAGGTGTGTGGTGCACCCCAGTCAAAGCACTTTGAGCAGCCCAGCAGGCACCTGTGGCAGTACTGAGGGTGGCAGACAGTGAGACATTAGATCAGGTTCAAAGCTGACCCTAATCCCTGCCAGCTGTGGATGCTGGCCAAGTCCTTTACCCCTGTGTGTCTCAGCGTTGTCAGCTGTAAAAGAGAGATGGCCATTTCTGCCTCATGGGGCTCTGGAGTGGCAGCCCCTTTGCTCTCTGTTGGTGGGTAGTGTATCACTCAGCATCTACTGGGTCCAAGGAAAACTGCATATCACCTCCTTTGGCTTTGCAGGCTACCTAGGCTCATCAGGATGGTCCTAGCTTGGAGAATTCCATAACGATCTGGTTCACGTTACTGAGGGATGACTAAAGTGACCTTGGAGATAGTTCAGTACAGTGCTGGCTAGCATTGATTGGTGGCAGGGGCAGCTTCTTGTGCCTGGTGGCTGGTTTACCTAAGGACAGCGTCTCATGATCAAACAGTTCAGGTGACCCAGGTGGAAGGAAGATGCAGGCTTGGTGTGTGACGTCCTATGTCACTCTGCGGGTGAAGGGCAGGTGCAGGAACTGGGGCCCTTGGTGGAGGCTCTCATAGACAGAAGTGAAGAAGTGAGGCTGTGCTTTGGGGTCACCTGGGCTGAGGTAGTCACTCAGGCTTGACAGATTTCCCTGAGGCCAGCTTAGAGTAGCCAAACAAGTCAGATGTTCTGTGAACAACAGGGGTCGTGAAGGATATCTCAGCCACAGCACTCAGTGCCACATGACCCAGATATCCAACTGCTGGTATTTGGAGGAACAACTCCAGGATGCCATTCTCTTCAGCTGTCTCCGCTCTCCCTAGCCTACCCAGAACATGCCAGGCAAAACTATGGTGGGCATCCAGCTGCGATGAGTAGATCCAGGCCGGGTAGAGTAAGAGATGAGCAGGCCAACAGCTCCACTCCTGGGTCAGAAAGTTAGAGTGTGGAATGTGTGTCTCTAAGCAGTTCCACAGTTAGCCTCCGAGGCTGCCTGAAGCACCAGTCAGCCTGTGGCCGGTTTGCTGGGTCTGAACCTACACTGGGTGTTTCCTCATCTCTGCAGAGCATGGACTGTGGGGCAGTGCAGGCTTCATTCAGGCTTGTGGCTTGTGGCTTGTTGGAAGGCTTTCCTGGCTTGTGCCTAACTAGCTGTGTTGGGTGACCAAGCCGCTCAGGCAGGACAGTGATTGGCCTTTGCCCTCCAGCTCTCCCCAGTCTCTGCCATGACCGCTTCCTCCTCACCTGTCTGGCCCTGCTGGGAGGGTCAATAGAGCACAGATGCAGTCCTGAACAAACATTTTTTATTTTCTGTTTTGCTCTTGATAAAATGCAGGGGGAGGAGAACTTTCATGACTTAGCACACACATTGACTCCAACCCCAAGCAGTCTCTCCACAGACTGGGAAGCAGAGCAGCCACATTCCTGGAAGCATTTGGGAGACGGTGCCAGGAGGGTTATGAATTCGAAGCCAGCCTGGACAACATGTGAGACCTTGTCTCAAGCACACACACACACACACACACACACACACACACACACACACACTGAATGGCCCAGTGAGGATAAGTACTTTAGCCTAGACCACACAGGAAAAGAGTTGGGTCCCTGGAAAGTTTGTCTTCTGGACTGTGAATGACCTTCTACACTGAGGCCCGTGTCCTGTGGACTAAGGGAGCCTTACTGTTACCCTTCCGTCCTTTCCCATCTCCCTGATCCTATGGGAGCTGGGGCCTATGGGCTGCTTTCTTGTTGAGGACTACTGGACACCCATTCTGCAGTCTGGACCCAAGTGGGCCCAGAGGCTTTGTGGTCAGCAGAAACTCTGGCCTTCTTTTCTGTAAGATCAAGAGAGTAAAAGGGCTATGGCCCACAGGTGTCCTCATGGCCGTACCTTGGAGACCCCTAGAATCTTCAGTCATTTTGCTCCTAATGCTCTTGGGGTCAGAGAGTGGCCTGGGTTAGGCCTTTGTGCCCTGTCCCTAACAGCGATCCTGTATCCTCAGCCTACAGGTGTCTGTGAGAAGCCTTCCGAATGCTTAGTTACTATCTACCCCTGTGCGGGGCCTCGATGGCAGACCAGTGCCTCCAAATCTACTCTCCAGCATGCCTCTGCATTGCCTCTGAGACTCACAGGGAATAAAGGAGGTGGATAGCCACACTCTCCTGTCACACCACCTTCTCTTGTCCCCAAGTGTCCACTACGCTCTTAGCTATGAAACCAGGGCAGCCGCCCCCATACTTCTCTCCAACAGCTCAGCAGTGTGAACAGCAGACACCAGAAGTTTCCAGTCCCAGAGGCTCCAAGCTGTGCCCTGTGCAGGCAACTGGGGATCTGGGGGAGAAAGACAGGAAGATTAGAGTTGGTGGGGTGTGGCCTGAGCCCCATCCCTACTCCAGAACTCCAGGGGACAGTTCTTATCTGCTTTTAATCTGTTTTCCTTTCCTCTGTGTTAACTCATTTTTTTGTTCATTCCACAGTTATTTATTGAGTATCTGCTGTGTGCCAAGCCCTGTTCTAGGTGCCATGGCATAGCAGTGAACCAGATGAAGCATTAGGGTCTGTGAGGGGAGGTATAACAACAAACAAAGCAGGACTTCTACTTCTAGGAAGTTAGGTTAGGGTGGACATGTCTCCCACTGCTCCTACTCTACATGGCTAAGTCCTTGGGTGGGCCATTGTAAACAGAGTTGGAAGATTCTGGAAGTTGGAGAGAAGCCAGGAGACTAGATGGAGGAGTAGCACTGAGCTGATGGCATGGACCATACAGACATGTCCGAAGGCACAGACAGAATGATAGCCAAGGATCAGGAAGGGTCACAGTCTTGGTCACTTCTGTCACCATGATAAGCAAAAAGAACTCAAGGGAGAAAGAGTTTATTTCAGCTCACAGCTCAGACAACCGGGCCATCCTGGTAGGTCAAGGCAGCAGGAGTTGAAAGCAGCTGGTCACGTCATACCCACAATCAGGAAGAAGAGAGCAATGAATGCTTGCTCAGCTCACTCTCTCTTTAATGCTGTCCAGGACTCAAGCCTAGGGAATGGTGCCACCAAGACTCAAACCTAGGGAATGGTGCCACCAGGACTCAAGCCTAGGGAATGGTGCCACCACTTTTAGTCTGAGTCTTCCTACCTCAAGTGACTTAATCA